AGCCGGGATCATGAATGTGCATACCTGGTATGTTCAGGTCAGCCCAGGATCTAAACCCTGCCTAACCATATGGCCTCAGCACTCCAGAGAGTTGTGCTACCTTTGTGCCACCAGAGCAGGCCTGGGACTCAGTTTTTAGAGAATGACCAGTTCTAGCATGAGGAAAGACTGGCAAGAAGGAGAAACAAGAATGTGAGCAGGAAAGCAGGCACAGTTGTTCACTGAGTTCTCCTCCTCTGAAAGTCAACAGGAATCACTAAAACACTGCAAATTAAGAGGTGATTATATGAAGGTACTTTATGAGACCATTGTTCTCTGTAAGGAACATGTTTAGAAAGGACCTGTGATTTGGAGCTGGTAGGTGGCCTTGTGGTTAAGGGCGCTGGACTCCCACATGGCTGACTGTGGTTAGAGTCCCGGACCTGGCAGCTTGCTTTCTCACTTTCCCCTCTTTCTCTTACTCTGTCCCTTTCTGGTCAAATTAAAAAGAAATTAAGAAAGGAAGGAAGGAAGGAAGGAAGGAAGGAAGGAAGGAAGGAAGGAAGGAAGGAAGTTAGTTAGTTAGTTAAATAAAATAATTCTTTAAAGAAAAGGAAAAGAAAGAAGCTATTTTGGGACCAGCAGTTAGCGTAATGGCTATGTCACTGGACTCCCATGTAGTCGACTGCAGTTCGAGTCCCAGACCCAGTGGCTTAAACTCACACTGGGCGTGTGTGTGTGTGCGTGTCCAAGATCCCGAGAGGAGAATAGAGGAGAAGGGATTGTGGTGTGGCCATCTCCCCTGGGGGGTGATTTTTTGCTTTCTATCTCTCTGTCTCTCTCTCTTTCTGGTGAGTATACGCACCCTATAGCAAAAACCTCTCCAAAAAAAGAAAAAAGAAAGGAGCTATTTTAAGGACTGTATCACTACTATCACTGGACATACACCCACCTGAGAAGAATCTCTAGCATCAGCATGGGTTTGAGGACAGAGATCTAAAAATGTTATTTCCACCTGAAAGACTGAAAATGGGAGTCCACCCTCTCCCCCTCCCTCAAACACAACCCTGTGACCCTTTCCATCCCAGCGAGCAGTCTACAGATGCTCAGCCCAATCTGTGCTGTCACCATGAACTCCTTTTCCCTCATGCTCACATAAGCGAACCTTGCCAGTTCCGTCCTGAAAATACAGCCAGAATCCTTCCGCTCCTTACCAGCCCCACCAATATCCTCCAGTACGTTTTCATTGCTTGCTTGGATCGAGGCAGTAACTAACTCATCTCCTGGCTCCTCCCTCTGTCCCAGCGCCATCTGCTCTTTTTGTCTTTTCTGTAATTGCGCTTTTCATGGGACTTCAAACTTACACAAAATTATAAAAGTAGTACAGTGACCTCCCATATATGTTTTACTTACATTTACCAATGATTTAGGCTTTGTTTCCTTTATTACTCTGTTTCCCTTATTCTACTGGGTCACCAGGAAAGTCATGACACATTTTTGCTTAGAAAAATATGTCCTGGCTTTCCTGAAGACCTACTAATATTTTCTGAGACATGTGAGAGTAAGTTGCAGAGATAAAGACTGCATCTTTTAGAGTATGTCTCCTAAGAACAAATACATGCTCTTCCGTAGCCACAAGGGTCAAAATCAGAAAATGCAATATTGATACAATACTAATCTAATCACAGTCTAGATTCCAACTTTATCAATCATCCAGCAATGTCCTCTCCACAGCACTTACTAATTTGTGACAGACTGTATTTTATTTATGTATTATTGTTTGCCAAGCCACCTTTGTGGGGTATGAATACTTAACAATTTTTGTCTAATTTGTCCCCTAGACCTAGAACAGTGCCTGGCATTTGGATAGTGCTCAATGAATTTACATGGAGCGAACGATGGATTGTACCCTCCTCAGAGGTGTGAGGGGCCCCTCAGAATTGTGGTCATGTGAAACCCCAGGACTGCCATCTGGTGAAGATGCCACCTTTCATCGACAAGAAACGAATGGCAAGAAAGGGTCCTGCGACGTCAGTTCCTGACTGTAAGCCTCGGCAGATATGAGCTGTCTAACAATTGCTACTGCGGCAGATTTGGTGAGTGCAGATTTATTCATATCGATGGTAGGCAGAACACCTAACTGATTAAAGCATATTTTAAAATCGCCTAAAAAAAAGACATTGAACAAAAGGAAAATGACAAAACTTCAGTTAAGAACTCGCACGGAGTGATTGGATCACAGAGGATAATAATGAGGGAGGAGAGGAGAAATGATAGGAAACCAAAGTAAGCCTGAGGGTAAACTGCCAGAAATGTACATCTAAATCTAACACTGTGCACGGGCGACCAGTAACAAAGAGGGTAAGGGGAGAGCTTTCACATTTAGAAGCAGTGTTTCTAAAGAAGTCATAGAAGTCTCTGAGCAGTACAAAATTTCCCAGAGATTACCTTCAGGGTCTAGCACTCAGTTTAACTCCTTCCATGCCCCGTAGTTCTCAGGCTGTACCGAGTGATGCCAGAGTCAGACCACAAAGCTCAGAGCTGTGCAAACCAAGTAGGAGCAAACTTTCCCAACTCAAGGGAAAAACTCCACTGATAGATGGGAGGGCCTCAATTTTCAACTTACATAATTAACTTTTCTTACACTTCGGATACTCATTACTATTTTATAGCAGAATCTAGCATAATATGATATTTTATACAGTGCTAAATTATGTTTAGTTATTTTAAATTTAGTATGTTAACATTTCATAATGTCAGCCTAACTGGATTTGAAAACTGGTTTTCCTAGTTATGGGACCTCAGAATCATTACACAACTTCTCTTTTTATTTTTTTACTTGACAGAGAGCACATGCACTCACCATGGACAGAGAGAGGGAGGAAATGCAAGAAAGCAGCCCCTGGGGGAATGGTCACATCATAACCCTTCTCCACTTCTACCCTCTCTTGGGACTTTGGGCATGCATACATACATGCATCCAGGGTTTTCAAACCACCGGGTCTGGGACTCAAAGCACCTGCTCAACCTCTAGGGATCCAGTAGTCTAAATGTCAGGCTGAGTTGGCCAAGCTACATCACTTCTCTGGGCTTCAGTTCTCTTGTTTGAAAATGAAGATTAATAATAATGCCAAACTCAAGAAGGTGGCTGTGAGGATGAAATTAGTTAAGGAAGGAAAGCAATGAAACAATACCTTGCACAGAGAGAGCGCTGTTAGCTGCTATTAGAAATATTAATATACCTAATTATTTAAAACACATAATGATTTCTATGGGCTCTGCCATTCGACAATTCTAAACCGTCACATACAGCTTCAGTCATGTACAAACACACATTCGCCCTGGTTAGAGAGAAGGAGAAACTCTGCAGTACTTACTTCGTAAATTGTTTGCAGGTTTCCGATCATATTTACAATACGTCAAACTGTTTTGTAGGCCAGAGAAATAAGTTACATATACAAAGCATATGCTATTCTATGCATTCGCAAATTTACATTATGGGGGGAGTCTTCCAAAAGTTCATGGAAATGCATAATATGAAAAAGTTATGTAAGGATTTCACAAGTTTGTTGCACCAAAATAAACTCATGCTTTAGTTTTTGTAGGACTCTTTTGAAGTCCTCTCGTATACTGTATTATATTGTATTGCAATATAGCATAGTGTAGGAGAGTATAACACTCTGGTATAGTATAAGCTAGTCTTGAAAGTAGCCTTTTCCTCCTGTTCACCCTCAAAATGTTAGGGCTCCAGGTTAATATCAAGGACATTTTGCAGATGTTATGTAGAATCACAGATACACTACTATAAAAAGACTTATATTAAAATTCACATTTTCCTTTAGATTTAATTCTCTAGGATACAGATTTTTTTCCCTCCTCTCAGGTTGTTTAGTTCTGGTCTATCACTCATTAGCTGAGTGACATTGGGCAAGTCACTTAATACCACCAAATTTTGATCCTCTCAACTATAAAACGTAACATCTGCCTTTGCCTGATCACAGGATTAGGATGAGGTTCCAAAAGCAATTTTCAAAAACTGTATGTCCTTTATAAATGTGAGATTATTTTAATATTTAATTTTTAAAAACCAGGTCATCCGAGATGAATGGTCAAGATGGCTTATTTTAAATGATTTACAGCTCACTTGAAAGTATCTGTGACTTAGCCAAGAAGAAACTATCTAATAAGAGCCATGAAATAACAATGAAAGCGTCTACAAACCTGGCCATTTGCTTGTAAGCTTCTTCAGCTACCGCAAAGATATGTGGGTCCATATCGCCCATATTCTGACCACTGTATGCATTAATAATGTCTTCTCCATAAATAGGCAGCTGTTCATAGGGATTTATAGCTACTAGGACTATACCTGAGGAGGAGAATAAAAAAATAAAAAAGAAAGAAAGAAAGAAAAAGAAGTCAATGATTTCCTGTGGGCCCATCAAATATGGTAAGGTGAGATTCACACTTAACACAAAACCTCATTTCAACTTCAGTTACGATTAAACTAACAAATTATCCAAGGATCAAAGATATCATAGCCTTTGCCTCTGAATTTATTATTCATCCTAACTTAAATGCCATCCTAATTTAAACTGGACTACATTGTTTAAAATGATGTGGCAATGTTATTTAAATGTCGTTTATTTATTTATCTATTTAATTATTTAATTTGAACATTTATCTATTTATTTGTTTTCACGTTCGAAGCTGCTGGGTATGGGACTCAAGCTTTGGCTGGCCATCTGGGAGCCCAGCACCTTAGCACCACGCCACCTGCTGGTCCGGTCATTGCTTACTTTGCAAACAGAGAGAAATGTATGATAGCTTATGCTATGGAGAGAGATGAAGTAGACTGCGGACAGCAAAGATCAGCTCAGCGGCACAGGCAACAGGAAACTATCTGAAGACATGTCTGCAGCTCCTGAGCACCCTGATTCACCAAGTGACTTTAAATCATGAGAAATGGAACCAGCTTTGAAAACTTAAGAAACACACCAAAATCTGCTGTGACACCAAAAAATAGCATTAGAGATGCCAAGGCCACAAAACATTGTTTAAAGACTCAGAATTGTTCATCTCCACAGAAATATTTAATAAAAGGCATATTTATACGATCTGAAGAGAAACCAGATTATAAGATCTTAAAATATTGTCAGGCCAGCCTGTGGTGGTTAGGGCAGCTAGATCCCCTATGGCCAACTGTGTGGTTTGAGTCCTGGACCCAGTAGCGTGAAAAACATACAGGGCACATATGTGAGCATGTCCAAAATCCCAAGGGAAAGATGGAAGAGCAGAAATTGCAGGTGGCCATATCCCATGGGGGGTGCTTTGTCACTCCTCTCTCCCATCTCTCCATCTCTCTCCAGCGAGCGCATGTGCCCTCTTGCATATTTCAAAGTATTTATTTCTTTTCATGATATGTGATGTAAAAATTCCTCACCTAGAAGTTTATCCAAATTAAATACTCAAAGATTTGTACAAAGGGCTTTATTTATTTATTTTTTTGGCGGAGTTTTTGCTATAGGGCACGTGCGCTCACCAGAAAGGTAGAGAGAGACAGAGAGACAAAAAGCAAGAAATCCCCCCCCAGGCCACGCTGCAATCCCTTCTCCTCCATTCTCCTCTTGGGATCTTGGGCACGCACGCACATGTGCCCAGCGTGAGTTTAAGCCACCGGGTCTGGGACTCAAACCACGGTTGACTACATGGGAGTTCAGTGACATAGCCATTACGCCAACTGCTGGCCCCTAAAGGGCATTTTTAACAAAGATGTTTATCATAATAATTTTAATAAAGATGTTTATCATTTAATTATGCATTAATTAATACATTTAAATACATTTTTAAATACATTTTGTTACATTGCATATAATAGACTATGGTGCTATCACCACAAATTATATATTTTTTTTGTTTTGTTTTGTTTTGTTTTGTTTTGTTTTGTTTTGTTTTGGAGAGATTTTTTTTTCGCTATAGGGCGTGTGCGCTCGCCAGACAGACAGAGAGAGACATAGAGACAGAAAGCGAGAAATCACCCCCCGGGGGGATGGTCACGCCGCAATCCCTTCTCCTCCATTCTCCTCTCGGGATCTTGGGCGTGAGCTTTAAGCAACCGGGTCCGGGACGCGAACCGCAGTCGACTACGTGGGAGTCCAGCGACATAGCCATTACGCTAACTGCTGGTTCCCACACAAATTATATTTTTGAAAAATAGTAAATGTCATAGGAAAACATGATACAAAAATATCCATAGACTGATTGTAATTTTATATCTACTTAGACTCACACATATACGCAGAAAGGATATAAGGATATAAGTCAACATGACATTGGTTATTTTTCAGTGAACTACATGTTATTATTTTTTCATTTTTATACTTTTCTGTATCTCCTTAAAACTTGACAGTAGGTACATGTTAATTTAATGGGGTCATTTATTCAATCAATACTTCTTCAGCTTCAACAATGTTTCAAGTTTTTTCTAAGTACTGAGTTTTACAACAATAAACAAATCTTTATCCTCATGTGGCTTATATTCTAGGAAAGAATTGGGAAAATTAACAAGATAAGAAAAGCTAAGTATCTATCTCAGGTTAGATGATAGTAAGATGAAAGGAGAAAAATAAAGCAGAGAAGGAAAAAGAGTAGGAAGGAGAAGGCTGATTTATGACTTTGATAGAGTGGCCAGAGAAGGCTTTGATCAGAAGGTCATATGTGTGTGTGTGTGTGTGTGTGTGTGTGTGTGTAAAAAGTAAATTAAAGAAAAATAAAACTTGAGACAGGCAGAGAGAGAGAGAGGGAAAGTGAAAAACTAGCCCCCGGCGGGATGGCAATGTCGCACTTCTCTTTTCATTCTCCTCTCAGGATCTTGGGCACGCACACACACGTGCCTAATGCATTATTTCAAGTTCTGGGTCCGGGATTTGAACCATGAAGTCAGTCATGTGCAGCTAGCTACCTTAACTGCTAGGCGGCCGGCTGGCTGAGGGTACAAATTCTTTTAAGAAGAAAAGGTGGCTGCTCCCATCCAAAACAGGAGTGTACTGGGGAGATGCTGATCTCTGAGGTGGGCACACTAGGAAATGAGGTTAGGTGGAAACGACTAGAAACCCTGATCCCAGCTTCAGAGGAGAGAGTGAACATGAAAGAAAGATAAGTCAGTGGAGGAAAAAAGAGCCAGAAGAGGAGAAAGAAAGTAAAGAGTAAGAACAAAATAGAAAGAGAGACAGAGGGAAGATGGAGGGGGAGGAAAGGAACAGAAATGTACACGCATGCATGTGCGTCATCGCTGAGACAAAAAGCATGGTGAGCCGAGTCCCTGGTGGCGGCACTGCCCTGAGCAGGGCCCGAACAAGCACAGCGAGCCGGAACACAACAGCTTTTGTGAAAGACGAAAATAACCAGTGAATTGGGCACTCCGTCTGACACATGACTTCTGTAGGAAAAAAATAAAGATCCAAAAGATGGGCCCAATTCTTTTCACTTTGAGTAAAATTACCTAAGTTTATCAATGAGTTTATTCAACACAAAATACAACGTGGCTCATGAATACCAGTAAATCTTTCTGAAAACTGAAGTGTTTTTGTCTCTAAGAGGAGATCCACCCTCAGCCTCTTTCCCACGGACAATATTCCCAGGACCATGTCCATTAGAGGAGAGAGTCCGCAGGCTGCCCAGACGGCAAAGCAAGCGTACTTACCACAATAGGTATAAATAAGTTTAGAATCAATAAAGCGGACTCTGAGATTATGGAGCACAGCGGGCTCATGAAGGTAGCTGAGGGCCGTGAGGTCATTTTCGCCGACAAGTATGTCAGGGTTTCGTAAGTGAGGCAGCTCCTTGGTCTTCGGATCTAGCCGGTATTCTAAATCCTGAAAATACACAAGATACAGCATATGGTTTAGTCACGGCCGTGAGTGTGAAGCAGGCCCTCGCGTGTTGCTTATTTCCTATTCTGACAATCACATCTCGGCTACTAAACACGTTCTTTTCCTGGCACCTTCCAATACCACAGAAACTGGTGGAAATGCGAATGAGGGCAGCCTTCTCTTACGCTGAATATGTTAACTTGTGTTAACAGTTTTTGCTAATATTGTCTGAGAAGTCATTTAAGATCTTTTTCACCCAGTTACTAGACCAGAAGTTTGAAATCTTTTTTTTTTTTTTGAGAGGATTTTTGCTATAGGGCGCGTGCACTCGCCAGACAGAGAGAGACATAGAGACAGAAAGCGAGAAATCACCCCCCAGGGGGGGATGGTCACGCTGCAATCCCTTCTCCTCCATTCTCCTCTCGGGATCTTGGGCACGCACGCACACGTGCCCGGCGTGAGTTTTAAGCCACCGGGTCCAGGACGCGAACCGCGGTCGAGTACGTGGGAGTCCAGCGACATAGCCATTACACTAACTGCTGGTTCCCAGAAGTTTAAAATCTTAAAGTGAGCTTTTCCCTCTCTCTTTACCTATGGTAAGTGACCAGCGATATAACCGTGTTTAAGAGCTTGGTTCGGCTCTAGGGTCAGAGCAACCTGGGTTCAAATCCTGATACTGGTACTTACTTTGTACATGGTTTTAGGTGTTATTTAATCTAAATCCCTTATTTGCAAAACAGGCATGACAAATAGCTCACAGGATTGTGGTAAAAATTAAATGAGGCAATGCCTGGCAAGTGGTAAGTACTTAGGAATCCCTTAACCCTGAAAGGCTCAAGAATCTCCTGAAATTATGCACAACACTTTGTGTATATGTGCATGTGGGCAAACAGGTGGCACACGCATGTGTATTTCGGGGGTAAAGATGATCCGCAATTTCCACTAGATTTTAATGAAGTACCTGATCCCCAAAGCAAAGAACTCTTCACTTTTAAGGTCGTGGAAATGTGGCTTTATGTCAAAGTCAACCATGGAAACTATTGCTCAACTATGTATTAAGGGCAAAGGACACACTGCACGTGAAAAGGGGGAAAAGCGCAATTAAACAGTCAGGAGGGGTAAGCCGCTTTTATAAAAAGTTGGTTTTGTTAATACAAACATACATACAGAAGTCAAATATTCCAATCAGGTTTGGATGAATTATGCTAAAGGGGAGAGACATTTTCAGGGTGCCCAGACTTCTCTCTCTGCCTGTGCGTCCCAGGGCTGCTGGTCCTTGCACTGACTCCGTCAATGGACGGCTGCCTGCTCCCTTGCTTCCCAAGTGCTTTAAGTTCCCCCCAGTGTATCCTCTTTTTCCATGAGTTCATAGTGTTTTTCTCTTAATAAAAATACCACAAATACCAATAAAAATGAAAATATGATATGAAGTCTGAATGGCAGTGATTACCAGGAGATGTGGAATCTTTAGAAAATCCAGTTCATCAGGGAATGTTAGCCAGACAATTCCAGAAGGTCAAGCCAGAATCTCTTTTCAGAAAGCGAGTGAGTG